GATAACTTCCTATTTTAGGATTATCCTGCTAAACCTCAGTCACTAGAAGAGTAAGTCATTGAATAGCAACAAAGTCTTCAGAAAGCAAGGAACGGTGTTGATTACCATCAACATTCCTGTTCACAAGTCTACAGGTTAAATGGCAGCTATGTGACACCTAGGATGTGATAACTTCCTATTTTAGGATTATCCTGCTAAACCTCAGTCACTAGAAGAGTAAGTCATTGAATAGCAACAAAGTCTTCAGAAAGCAAGGAACGGTGTTGATTACCATCAACATTCCTGTTCACAAGTCTACAGGTTAAATGGCAGCTGTGTGACACCTAGGATGTGATAACTTCCTATTTTAGGATTATCCTGCTAAACCTCAGTCAGTAGAAGAGTAAATCATTGAATAGCAACAAAGTCTTCAGAAAGCAAGGAACGGTGTTGATTACCATCAACATTTCTGTTCACAAGTGTACAGGTTAAATGCCAGCTATGTGACACCTAGGATGTGATAACTTCCTATTTTAGGATTATCCTGCTAAACCTCAGTCAGTAAAAGAGTAAATCACTGAATAGCAACAAAGTCTTCAGAAAGCAAGGAACAGTTTTGATTTTTTGGATATTGACGTTTGTATTTGAGTTGTTTATTCACAAAGTCCAGATCAGGTGATCTTTTATTGGTGTTTAATATTATATAAAACTGTATTTTGTTTAATAAATCTCTTAATTTTTTATACCTTGGTAGTAACATCATTATTTGATACATTACAGTTAATTGAAGTAATTATAAGTGAATGTATTCATCAGTAGTGTAAGCTACTAGTGTAAGTTAGTACTTGAAATTACCACAAGTTTAGTAGTTTAACCCTTTCACTGCAGCTATGAAATATACGTCCCAGTGCACTGTGAAATATATGTCCCAGCTGCAGTGAATGGGTTAAGTTAGGGTAAAATAGTGTAAGTTAGTACTTGAAGTCACTAACAGGTTTAGGTAGATGCTACTGTGTAAATTAATAATAAAGTCCTACAATTGTTTTCTATTTATATTAACGAGCTAATATATTTACAGAAAATATTTCTAAATGCCAAGAAATAAAGAGTACATATTTTTCTTAATTGTATTTTGGTTTTAATTTTTTCTGTGTTTATGGCAATGTTTGTTTAGATTATCCCTTTTGGATAAGCTTTGTATTTGCTTAATTTAGTTTCTTGTATTTTTTATAAACAGGTTTTGTAAAGGTTTGTTTGTAATTTGATGTAGAACATGATACTATGAGCACTTTCTTTTTTTAAAAATTGTGTTCATGAAAGTATAATGAGCTACAAACTGAAGTTGTTACGTATGTCTAACTTCCCAGTTTGTTATAACCATATATATCAAGTTTTGTTTTTCCAAGTGAGAAAATTTAAACTTTAAAAGATATTATGAACACTTAAATATTTTCTGGCACAGCTCTGAGAATGGGATTGACAACCCCTTCCGGCCTGAAGGAGACTTGAGTAAAGAAGCTGAATCCATAGTTTGTCTGATCAAAGAAGGGAAGCCAATCACACCTAACAAGGAGAAACAGGAAGACTGTAGAATAGAAGATTCTCTTCAGACACCAAACATGGATGAATTGGATACACCAAAGCAAGAACAGGTAGTGGCTAACAATGTTACTTCTGCCAAGCCTGATGTAAATGGAGCTCCACTGAAGACTACCAGTTCAGCAGTGCCAGCTGTTGTAGAAGTTCAGCATGGAATTATTGCACCATCTGATTCGTCCCAAGTGGAACCAGTGGTTATCAAGAAGAAACCAAAATGCAGATGTTGTGTTCTTCAGTAGCAATGGATTAACTTACAGTATACCAGTATATATACATGGACCAATCAGAATACTCTGACAATAAGTTGAATTAAATGGTTCTTTACATTTTTTTGGCTTTCTGTTGGCCAAACTTAAACTTTATGGTTTCGTTTTGTTAAAACTACTTGTGTTTTTATTTCTCTGAAGAAAGGTTTATAAACTGCAGCCAAGCAGCATATTTCTATATGTGCCTTGGTAGAGACTTGTATGGCTACGGAATTTTTAGAAGATTCGTTGTTACGGAGCAGCTACGAGTTATTACGACAAGAATTTAGTATAATATTTCTAAACCAGTCAAGCTAGTAAGTGTGATGTTGTATTTTGTATTAGATCTGCCAACAGAGATCTTTCTCATGAAGTGCTACGTTTTTCAGATACCTGAAATACTCAATCACAAAATAGTGGGCTAACTTTTCTGACAGCATTACTGTCTCACCATAACTTAAACAATTAGTAGGAGGAAAAACATGAGTAATTGGATTATTAAAAACAGAAAGAAGGAAATTGTCGTTGGTTGAGAGTATTGGTTATTTGGATGTATGAAGAATGTTATTGAACATGTTGAAATAATAGTGTTTGCAATATTCTTCAGGCCTTAAACTTCTGTTTAAAAAATAAATACCGTATTTTGTGCTATTATTGAAAATTATAACTTGCTTAGTCATTTCGATTGACCTCTGTACTGAGCGTTATAAATTCTCAGACAAAGTAAGAAATGTGAAATTTTTGGACAGTAGTCTATGAATTCTGTAGAGTGAAATAGTGTAGTTGAATCTCAGTTGGTTTTCTTTAAATTAAAACTCTTAAGAAAATGTCAAATCTCGAACTTGCATATTAAAGAAAATTGAGGATTTCAAAGTCTTGGCTTTAACTCAAATGTTATGAGTACAAGTTAGGTATGGCTCAATCTGGATAACTTGCTTTAAAATATATGTGAAGGGTAGAGAATGTTCAAAATCTGGACACATTGAATTACCATAAGAAAGGAATGTTCAAAATCTGGACACATTGAATTACCATAAGAAAGGAATGTTCAAAATCTGGACACATTGAATTACCATAAGAAAGGAATGTTCAAAATCTGGACACATTGAATTACCATAAGAAAGGAATGTTCAAAATCTGGACACATTAAATTACTATAAGGAAGGAATGTAATGAGAAGTGGGGAATGTAAAAATCTGGACACACTAAATTACAAGTAATAAGATAGAATTGATAAAACTAGCACATTAAGTTATGAGATATAAAAAGTAGGGAATGAAAAATCTGGGCACTAAGTTACAAGTAATAAGATAGAATTGATAAAACCAGCACATTAAGTTACGAGATATAAGAAGTGGTGAATGGTAAAATCTGGGCACTAAGTTACACTAATAAGAATTTAAAATCTGGACATTAGGTTACATGTAATAAGTGAGGAATGTAATATCTGGGTGCTAAGTTATAACTAATAATCTGGACACTAAGGTACAAGTCATATAAAGTTAAAATCTGAGCTATTCTTTTGTAAATTACAAATATGCTCTCTAAGCACCAATAATTAGAAATGAATTATTGTCAGAAATATTAAAGTTATTCATACAACATGTGTCATGGGGAGAGAAGATGTTGATTGTTGTAGCTAACACTTCAATATTATGGAGTTTACAATGATTCTAAAACTATGGTGTTACTTTGACATACATTGATGAAGAAGAATGCAATGCTGAAATTTATAATTTAAAAAAAATTAAAATTGAGTGTGTGTGTGTGTGATTTTATTTATGTAAAATAGTGGTATAAGCTTGTAATGCGACAAAGTGAAAAATTTATATTTCTCTTATGTAAAGTTTTTTATAATATAGTTATGTGTATATTTTCCCCCAAGCCTGTATTTATCAGTTAACTGCATTAAAAACAGCTCAAATAAAAAATTTCTAAAGGTTCTCAGTAGTTATTCTGCCTCCCTGTTATCAAACCACTATGAATAAAATCAAAACAATTATAGTACATACCTTGAAGAAGAGTAGTAGATCCAATAATAGACAACAATAAATTATGATATTCCAGTCACATTTAATATGTAGAATTTTAGTAACATTCAAATAAAATTTTGTAGTATAACCATAAAGACTAAAGTTTCATGTACCTGGTATAAAACGTATCGTGGGTGAGATTTTGGATCAAAAAAATCTGACTTACTTACGTGAATACTATATCCCACACAAAAAATGTGGGGGAGGAAACTGCTCCCCTTTGCCCCTTTATGTGCAAGTCATCTTATTATTATGTCATAAATATGCATTAACTACACAAACATATTTCTTCTCATCACAGTAAACACTTCATTATAATATTAATCATCAATATGCATTAAATACATAGAAACAGATTTGCACAGAAACAACATTCGTTGAGGGATCATAAAACTACTACTTAGTTTACATGAAGAAACAACATTCGTTAAGGAATCATAAAACTACTACTTAGTTTACATGAAGAAACAACATTC